TCTCATCTGTGAAAGGGGAATAAGCCATGCCCCCCTCACATATGGTTATGAGGATTAAATAGTTCACCACAGTGCCTGGCACGGCTGCTTTTGCTATATTATCATTATTATTGGTGTGGCAATATTGATCTTGAGTTTCAACGGCTCACTATCTCGGGGGAGACAGTCAAGCGAGTGTCTAGGTGAACCTCGTGGAACTCTGCAGGCTCTGAGCATAGGAGCTACCTGATCCAGCCAGGGAAACCAAGGGCATTGGCCATGATGGGGAAAAGTGGCTTCTTAGAAGAAGGGCAGTCGGGGCATGGAAGGGAGTTCTGGGTAGGGGAACAGTGTGTGCAAAGTGTGGAAGCACAGAGGACCTGGAGCAGCCACCTCTGGGTCCTCCCCCACTCCCACTTTCCCACCTGCCTCCTCCCTTTTGGTACTGTCCAGAGGGCAGGCCCGGTTATCTCCAGTGGCAGGTGAGATGTTTGAGGTGGTCCACCGAGAGCACTTCATCGCACACATATGAGCTGTGTCCTTCCCAGGGCTGTTTTCTCTTTGCGCTGGCCAGGAGTGGTGTCCCCTATGCACAATCGATGGAGTCTCTAACACCTTTCTTTCTGTTGCTGCTGTGCCCTCCCCCTGCCTCCAGGCCTTTATTTGGGTGGACTTTGTGAGGGTCACACAAATGTGCCACATCTTGAGTGTGTGACAGTAACCAGGCTGTTTAATATTTAATGAAACCCATCAAACTCGGCCCTGAACACCTGTATATGTTCTACCTCAATCAAAAAAGTACAGGGTTCTGGAGTCCCAGCTACCGGGAGGTGGAGGCGGGAGGATTGGCAAGTTTAAGGTCAGCTGGGCAAGGTTAGTGAGACCCTGTCTGGAAAATAAATGCCTCAGGGTGTAGCTCAAAGGGAAAGCATCTGCCTAGAACACAGGGCCCTGGGTTCAATACCCAGTACCGGAGGCGGCCCAGCGCCTGCCTCACCGCCACTCACTTTGTTTTCATTGTATCTTCACCTTCTTCTTACAGATGTGGCACTGACTTTCTGTGTTTGCAGTAGTGGTGTGAAGTTCCCTTTTAAAATAAAATGATTCATGGTGAACTTAAATAGAAATATAAATGTTTACTGGGGTGCAGGGAAGAGCAATCACGAAGCGATAAGAAAAGTCAGACTTCCGGGAACCCTCCTGAGAAAATTGGTTGGTGCTAAGATGCAGCTGGCGTCTGCCAGCGTCGTGAGGGCAGGGAGAGAAACAGCTGGGCACTGGGGGGGACACACTTCAGAAACAATGAGGAATCTCAGCTACTTAAATATTTTACTTCGTGGAAGGTGGAGATTGGGGGGATGGAGGTTTGAGGCAGAAAGTTGGTGAGACTCCGTCTCAATCAATGTGGTGGGGTACACCTGGTACGCCAGCCATGCGGGAGGTAGGCAAGGATCACGGTCCAGGCATCCTGGGCAAAACCTTGAGACCCTATCCAAAAAATGAACTGAGGCAAAAAGGACTGGGGGCATGGCTCAAATGGTAGAGTACCTGCCTAGCAAGGCTGAGGCCCTGAGTTCAAATCCCGAACTGCCCAGAAAAGAGAACTATTTTAATCCTGAGCTACTAGCTTGTGAAATTTGCTGTCAAATACCAGGAGGACCAAGAAATAAACGATTAATTACCCTCCTACCTTGCTTGCTGTGAAACATTCATAGAGGAGGGAGAGAAGAAAAGCCGTGTCGTGTGGGTTAATTAAAAGCACAAATGCCCTAATGCTCAGAGCCCAGGGCTCCCAGGCTGCGTGAGCGCGTGTGTCTTCACGGCTTGGCTTCTGAGCCATTTGTTCACAGTGGGATTTCTGAGAATCTGCCAGGCAGTTTTTCTGATGAGGCTGGAATTTTTACTTGGAGACGTTCTGTGCTTGGTTGTGCTAGCTTACGGGGCAGTGGCTTCTCAAAACATTGTCAGACACGGATTTGACACTGATCTTGTCCTAGATTAAAGCTGCTATCTGCCAGGAAGGTGCACATGTGAGCGCCGCCTGTGCCACAGGGGTTAAGATGCGAGCTCACATTGGCCGTGCATCAGAGCATCTGCAGACCTTGGCAGACCCCTGGCTAGAAAATCAAAGGATGTCAGAGCCCAAAGCTTCACACTTATCAGTGAGAAGGGGGTGGCCTAGAGTGGGTGGGGGCTTTTCCAAAGTCACATAGCTTAGTGAGCGGCAGAGCAGGGCTAGAGTCTCAGTTTCCTGCTTTGAGGCCAGGGTTTCATTATCACGTGTTATGTTCTATCACCCCTCCCCCCATCAGATTTAAAAATGGGAAATGATGTTTCTTTTCTGGACATAATGTGAAAATCAAAGTCTCCCTTCTGTACGACACTGTCCCCTACTTATTCAGTTCCTCTTCCTGGGGGAAGTCACTGTCACCTGAATCAGAGAGAACTGTGCCCTGGGTTGTACTCAGTATGCATGCGTGTGTGTGCATCTTGCCCTCCCCTTTATGCTGGGTGACTGTCTTTTCTTCCCCCGTGCTGAATCTTCTTGTCAACCTGTCCCAATGCAGAAAGAACTTGGCTTTCTTGAACACATCACGAGCAACCCCTCTTTCCCCCCAGCTGGTGGACTTTGGGTTCCTTCAGTCTGTAGGTCACAAATAGGACACTAATCCCACGCACACTTCATTCTGCATAGGTGAGGCTGCCTTGCAGGACAGGTGGCACTGCTGGCTTCCGCGAGCATGCATATTTGGAATTTTGCTAGATATTATCAATCCTCCTCTGTAGAGGTTATGACTCTCTGCCTTTTGGTTTGGACAATAGCATCTTTGAGGAGGAGTTCCAGCTGACAGTTTTTTGAGGACCTGCTTCCTGGCAGGTCCCATCCAGGTGCTGGGGACACAGTCTTGAGCAAGAAAGTCCTTGTGGCATTTACTGATTGGTTAGGGGAGAGGCAGACAAACTAACTTCACTTCACGGCCAATTGGAATTTCGAGAAGTCCTGGGAACACAGTAGGGACCCCTGGGAGGGGCCTGAGTTACTCAAGGAGATCAGGAAGACTCTGGGAATGGGCTTTAGTTATGCAGAGAAAGGGGGTGGCAGGAGCTGATGAAGCAGAGGGAAGATAGCAAGTGCAAAGGTCCTGAGGTAGGAAGGAGCTGGGTGTTTTCACAAAACTCTAGTTTGGCTGTAGTCCAAGAGAGTGGAGAAAGAGGAGAGGCTGGGTGTGCAGGCCAGCCCCAGCCAGGCATGAAGACAGTTATCTTTCCCCTTAGTGCCCTGGGAAGCCATTGGGTGGTTCTCACTGGATGGGGGGTGGGGGGGGGACCACATCAGCTAGATGGTCTGACGTCAGCTAGGCTAAGCTTCCTCAAGGGTGGCCCAAAAAGGGCACATGGAGGCAGAGGATTGCATGACTGTCTACCCTGCTCCCCAAGGCAGGAGCCAGGCAGGTAGCTTTAGAAAGAGTTTCCGTTCCTGGCTGGCAGGCCCTTGGGTGTGATTCTTTCATGATTTTTCTCTCAGCCACTCAGCAAATATTTATGGAGGGCCTGCAAGTGCCAGGCACTGTGGTGGGCGCTTGGCAAACAATGTTGAACCAAAGTAGACGTGGCCCTAACCCCATTGGAGCAGAGTCCAGCGTGGAGTCACAAATGCCCATAAAGGCCAGATAGTAAATGTTTTAGGCCTCATGACTCATATTGACTCTGTCCTAGTCCCCTGCTCTGCTGTTACAGGAAAAAGCAAGCCCTATGTAGAAAAAAAAGAAAAAAATTGGCATGTCTGTTTTCCAATAAAACTTTATTTGTAAGTGCAGTCAGGGGGGCCAGATTTGGCCTGTGGGTTGCAGTTTGCTTGCAGTAAATACCAGCGTGTTGTGAGCTAGTAGCAGGTGCGGTGGGGAAGAGCTGGTGTGGGGTGGGAGGGAAATGATCTTTCTGAGGTTCAGGAGCTGCCAGCTGAGCAGATGCAAGAAGGAATTAGAAGAAACATCCCTGGGAGGTCTTGTGAGGACAGGGAAGTGTACATTCACGGACCCAACAGGAAGTGGTTGAAAACACTGAAGTGATCCACTGGGGGATCAAGCCAGCGTGGGAGAGTGGGGCCAGGGCCCAAGTTACAGAGGGTTTCTAGAATGGGTATGTCAGAGCTACTGCATGGAGAGATGGGGGTGGGGCGTGCTGGATGGAGAGACATTTGAGTCTTATGTCTGCTGATGGCGGAGGTGGGGAGGGCGTGGGTGTGAGGAGCCAGGACTGACCCAAGTTGCCTGTGGAGAAGGCGGAGGTGGGGAGCCCTGGAGGTGGAATGGGGTGAGGGGCAGTGGAGCAAACCATGCCCTTGTCAGTTCCAAGGGGTTTTCCCAGCAGCCCTGGGTGCCTGGACTTAGGCAGGACCCAATGAGGGACACAGAGCAGCAAAGATGGGGTGTGTGCCTCCGAGGGGTCCGGCTTGAGAACTAGGGACAGTGTGAGGTGAAGTGTGGCCATGCCTGTAGGTGATTGGGCAGATAGCCTGCAAGAACAGCCCTCTCTGGTGCTGAGTCCTTTGGAAGGGCGACAGAAGTGGCTATTGTAAAGGAGAACTTCATTTGCTCTGCAGCCCCTGGTCTCCATGGTTTGGGGGAGTCCATAGCTGTGACTCTGCCTTTGGGGGATCAGATGTCTCGGTGGCAGGAGTTCTAAGCCTATTCATTCCATGACTCTGGGTGGTGAAGCTCTTGCCCACCTGGGGCCCCATCTGTAAAGTGGCACAGACGAGACAGGCAATCCCGGTCCTGAGCTGAGCAGGCGACCTCTGCCCAGGGGGACCATCGTCTTTGATCTCTGTCTTCCAGGGATTGGGACAACAGGGCCTCACTTTCCTCCCAGCGGGGGCCAGTTTTAGCTCAGGCCCTGACATGGCGGGGATCTGACCAGATGAAGTGACAGGAGCCAAGGCCACCTGTGACTGCTCTGCACGGGGAGTTCGGTTTTAGAGGCTTAAAAGTCCCCTCCCTCCCTCCCCCTTCTCTTTCCAGAGGAACCGAGCGCACATAAGGTCGCCAGCCCACCCTCCGGCCTCGCGTACCCCGACGATGTCCTGGACTATGGCCTCAAGCCATACGGCCCCCTGGCCGGCCTGGCTGGCGAGCCCCCCGGCCAGTTCGGAGAGCCGGCTAGGGTAGGGCCCCCGAACCCTGGGAGCGCGGCCAAGCCAGCAGGGGCGTCGGGCCTGAGCCCCCGGATCGAGATCACTCCGTCCCACGAACTGCTGCAGGCGGGCGCGGCCCTGCGGCTCGGGAGAGACGCCGGCCTGCTGCCCGAGCCACCCGCGGGGGCCGCCAGCCCGCGGGTCACGCTGCCCGTGCCCGGCTTCGAGGGCTACCGGGAACCGCTTTGCTTGAGCCCCGCTAGCAGCGGCTCCTCTGCCAGCTTCCTTTCCGACACCTTCTCCCCCTACACCTCGCCCTGCGTCTCGCCCAATAACGGCGGGCCCGACGACCTGTGTCCCCACTTTCAAAACATCCCTGCTCATTATTCCCCCAGAACCTCGCCAATAATGTCACCTCGAACCAGCCTCGCCGAGGACAGCTGCCTGGGCCGCCACTCGCCCGTGCCCCGTCCGGCCTCGCGCTCCTCGTCACCCGGTGCTAAGCGCAGGCACTCGTGCGCCGCCGCCGAGGCCTTGGTGGCCCCTCTGCCCGGAGCCTCGCCCCAGCGCTCCCGGAGCCCCTCGCCGCAGCCCTCACCGCGTGTGGCCCTCCACGACCACGGCGACCCCGCGGGGTGTCACCCCACGGCCGGCGCTGCCGTCCTCATGGATGCCCTGAACAGCCTGGCTGCCGACTCGCCCTGCGGGATCCCCCCCAAGATGTGGAAGACCAGCCCTGACCCGTCACCCGTGTCCGCCAGCGCGGCCAAGGCCAGCCTGCCCCGCCACATCTACCCTGCTGTGGAGTTCCTGGGGCCCTGCGAGCAGGAGGAGAGGAGAAACTCAGCCCCCGAGTCCATCCTGCTGGTGCCACCGACTTGGCCTAAGCAGCTGGTGCCTGCCATTCCAATCTGCAGGTGAGTGGGGCTTAATTGTTAAGAGGTGGCTTTCGGGGCCATGGGCGGTCGTGCCTGCCTGTAATCCCAGCTACTTGGGAGGCAGAGATGGGAAGCATCAAGGCTAAGGCCAGCCTGGGCAAAAGGTTTGGGAGACCTCATCCCAGCAATCCCACTGGGCATAGGTAGGAGGATCGCAGTCTGGGGATGACCCTGGACAAAAACGTGAGACCCTGTCCCCAAAATAACTAAAGCAAATAGGGCGAGGGCATGGCTCAATGGAAGAGCGCCTGCCTAGCAAGCTTGGGGCCCTGAGCTCTAACCCTGGTACTGCCCCAACAAAACAAAAAAACAAAACAAAACAAAACAAAACAAAACAAAAAACAGGGCTGGTTTTCTAGTTACAGTATGGGATGTAGTCAGGCAGACTGATTTAAATCCTGGCTTTGCCCCTTACTGGCTGTGAAACTCTGAGAAAGAAGTTAAATTTCCCAAGTCTCAGTTTTTGCACGTGTAAAATGGGTATAGTTAGTGTTCCCAGCTCACCAGGTGGCTGTTATGAGGAGGCCATCATGCAATAAATATGACTGTTCATAGGGCACTTTTGCTCAGCTATTCACTCAACAAACGTTTACCAAATCCCTTCTATGTGGCAGGCTTTTTTTTTTATAGGTTCTGGGCAGAAAGTGGCAAACTAGATAGGACCAAATTTCTACCTTCATGAACCTGACATTGTAGTGAGCACAAAGCAAGCCTTAATATGTAAAATTCACAACGCATTATGACAGGAATTGGTGTGTGTTGATATCTGCCCATGCCTCAGTGATATGGAGGTCCTAAAAAAATGTCCTCGGGGAGTTGAAGATCTTGGCGGGCTGAAGAGATGTGTGCAGGTGGCAGGACAGGCTCTGGGATCTCTGAGGACTGAATTTGCATCCTGGCTCTGCCACACACAGCCAGCATATCGCAGGTGCCTGTGGCAGACGTTGTTAATCAATTATGACTCATCAAGCACCTTGTTGACACTCTGCCCAGAGCAGACACTGCTAATCAATCAGTACGCCCCTCTCCGTGCACACACTTTTTTCCCTCTTCCTTTGAGACAGGGTCTTGCTATGTAGTCCATGCTGGCCTTGAACCCTTGAACTCATGATCCTCCTGCCTCAAGGACTCCCAGCTTTTACTGGGCACCTTTTCGGCTTTGATTCATCCCTGGGATGAAGATAATAATAGTAGCCACCTCATGGTGCCTTTTTCAAGGATTAGGTAAAATGCCAAAGGTCAAACTCTTGGCACAGAGTCTGCACTTAAGAGCTCCACGAAGGAACAGCCACCGCTGTCACAGGGGACGCTTATCCTCATCGGGGAAGCAATTACTCACTGACAAGCCTTTGCTGCCAGACTGACCCACAGCGGCCTTTGCAGCAGTGCTGGTGACAGCGATAACCACTGACACAGCACAATGACAGGGGCATAACGGCCACCAACATTTGAGGATGCTTGCATGTGCCAGCACGACTTTAAGCACTTTATACGTGTCACTTAGTACATTTTCCTCGCGAGCCTGGTTTGCTATTATTTTGCATTATTTTTTACGTAAGGGGAAGGGCGAGGTGAGGACAGACACTGTTCCGTCTGCTGTCTCCTGGATGAAGCGCCAATGGCTTACGCTATCACCATCATCCCTGAGGTTTTCAAACTGCTTTTGGCTTTAGTGAATGGAAGGCTTTCCCCCAAATAAAAGGTTGAGTTGAATGCCATAGTGGATTCGGGACTGAGGGTGGCCAAGGACCTGCTCTCTGGGTGCCGGCCACTCCCACAGCAGACTATAACAGAGCATGGGAGCATCCAAGCTGACATTCTTCCAAGGTGTGCCAGCGAGCACCGTGTAGGTCACTGGTATTTCCTAAAAAAAAGGAGTTTCCGGGTTAAACAGAGTTCACATGTGCCCTTGTGCAGGCCTTCCCAGAGCCTTTAGTGTGGGCGGAATGTGCAGTGATTCAGAGCCCATATGACTACAGAGTTCTGAAGTTTCACAGAGTCACTTTGGGAACTGCTGATGGAGGCCAAGCCCTGACAGACTGGCAAACGGGCCCACCGAGGTCCTGCGGCAAGCCCTGCATAGTCAGCAGCTAATAAGGAAGGTGCAAACGAGAATCTGTATCCGCGGCTCTTCACCTGCTGCAGATCTGTCTCCAAATCTTGACTTTATTTAATGGGAGGACCATTGAGAGGAACCTTGATGGCGACATGTCTGTCTGAGATGTTTGCAACCCTGTCTCTCTGTTCTGCAGCTTGACGTGTGAGGTTCTGAGCACTTGAGTCCTTTATTCCCCAGCAAGTGCTGATCTGTGTCCCCCAGTGAAATACTGCAAACCTTTCCTATGACACTGGGGGAACGGGGCAGTCAGGGACACCTCATGGTAACATTTATTTCCTGAGGATGGCTGTGGACAGCTTAGACGAGGACTGGAATGTATATACAGGATTTCAGGCTGTCTCACTGGTCTGACTCAAGGTTGTATTTCAGTGTCAAATTCCTATCTGTCTCAGAGCCAAACTAAATTAAACACTGGAACTTGGGAATATCCCAGGGAATCTTCTAGTCTTTAAAAGTTTTTGATACTTTAAGAGATACTAATACTCAGCTAAAGTGGTGTTTTTGGTTTTATCTTGCAAACTTTTAATTCCAACTTGGATACTCTTACTCGATACAAGTAACAGTATTTCACACATAGCACATTGGCTGCAGGCAGAGCTTGGAGGCCTGCTGTTGTCACTAAAGTAAATGAAGGCACTAGGGACACACTACGGCTATAGAGTGAGGGAGGCTCCAGGGCCACCTGGCTGGCTGGGCAGAGAGGATGGAGGTTTCCTTGCAGAGTGAGGCTATGATTCAATGTTGGGCCGTACATGTGAGCCGGGCTCTGAGTCTACCTCTGCCGTCCTCCCTGGGGTGCCACCATGATAGAAGGGTTGATTCATTACCAGTGCTTAGCTAACTAAGTCTGGTTGATAATGTCATCTTCTCACAACCCTAAGCTAAGTGGGAAAGACTACTCTGAATGAATCGGTGATTTCTGCCATCTGTAAAAAATCTAGACACAATAACACAAATCTGTGTGTTTGCAACTTCAAAGCTATTTTGATTATACAGACCTGCTTTGAGAGAGAGATGCTGATCTATTAAGTCACCTCTCCACACACCCATCCAGCCAGCCAGCCACCAGTTCACATGAATTTAGCAAACGTTATGGCAGGCTTTACAGTCATGCCATAAAGGAGATTTTTCTTGGACCCATTTAAAATAAATTAACAAGACAAGAGGCAGCGTGGAGGGGTGAGCGATGTTGGCATCCTGCACTTGGAGTCAAGAGACCAGAGTTGGAGCCTTGGCTCTGCACTGCTCTGTGATGAACCCGGGGAAATGTCTTCATGTTCGCTGTGCTCAGAAGCAGGGTCTTAATGGGTCTCAGAGACCTTGGCCGACTCTTCTGCGACGTGATTCTAATCGTGTATCAAGTACCTGTTTTGTGCTGGGTGAGCATATGACACTTAAGGCACGCCTTCAGAGTTGTGCAGATGTGAAGGCGTGTGTGTCTAAAAGCATAGCCAAGTCAGATTGTCACAGGAAGTAACTGCTTGACACACACGTGTATATCTAACATAGTCTAGGAAAATGTCACAGCTAAGTTTATTGAGCACTTTGGTTTAAGTTCTCTATATAATCTCCAGCTCTCATTTCACAAGTGAAGAAACTAAGGTCTGGGAGGAAGAGGGATTCCCTCAAAGCCACACAGGTAGATGGAGGTAGAGCCGGGGTGTGAACTTGGATGTGAAATTCTTGTCATGTTATTGACTTTCACCCTTCATTTAATGTCTGTGTGGTTTGGTCCATCTATAACCTGATAGACACCTCTGTGCTTAGAGGACCGTCAGGTACAGACCCTATGAATAACGACTGTGACTGGAGCCAGCCTTTCTTCACAAAGGCACTGTGAATGGAGACCTCAGACCTGGAAATGAGAGTGCTGCAGCTCTCAAATGCCATCTGCTCTACTTGCCATGTGATTGCAAGACACTGGATAAGCAAGGTCAAGTTCTTGCTTAAAGACCCATGGCAAGTTAGTGCCACTCGGGTATTCTGCGCCATCCCTCTGAAAAAGGAAGCACCCTTGCAAAGGGGTGTCTTTGCGAGGTGGAGGTGCTGTTCCCTCCAGTCCCCAGAGAGGTAGTCATAGCCATTAGAAACATGGTAGAATTGACATGTAATGAAATTAGCTTCATATGTCATGAAGCTGGTTGTGCTGTCTTCATGGGAATGAAAGAGAGGGCAAAGCAAAGATCGCTGCCTTGTGTAGAGCCCTGTCTATCATGTCTGAGCATCACGTGACTCAATTTTCAGCATTTTATTCATGTACCACGGGACCCAAATTCCGGAAAAGGTGCTGTTTACCTTTATTGTACAGGCTAACTGATCCTGGCTTCTTTTCTCCCCTCAGCATCCCAGTAACAGCATCCCTTCCTCCACTTGAGTGGCCGCTCTGCAACCAGTCAGGCTCTTATGAGCTGCGGATCGAGGTGCAGCCCAAGCCCCATCACCGGGCCCACTATGAGACTGAGGGCAGCCGAGGGGCCGTCAAGGCTCCCACAGGAGGTCACCCTGTGGTTCAGGTACAGACGCCGTTTCTCTTGCTTTTGTGTCCCATGTTTGTCACAGGTGACTCACTTCTGCTGAGCCTCTCCTTGTTGTTTGTTAGGCTGATAAGCGTCTCAGCCTCTGCTTTCTTTAGCCTCTCCTTTCTTTAGGGGATGAAAAATTTGAAACTGAATCGGCATCTGGAACTGCCTTGGCTCACAGCAGTCTGGGAAGAAAGTCTTTGGGAGGCGGAGAAAGATACGGATTACATTCATGTGCCAGATACTCATTTCTTTCTGATTGAGAAACTGTTAGGCTTGTGTGTGCACAGAAGGTTTCCAAGGTCACAAGTTTCAGATGAGAGCCCAGCTCTCGTCAAACACAGAAAAGTAAGAAAAACTAAAACTACACACAACCAGATTTCCTAAGAGAACTGTGTTTAGGATTTTAGTATATTACTTGCTCTTTTCTTCATAAACACGTTGACCTGTGCTAGTCTCTGTATGCCTGATGCTGTAGTAAACGTAGTGTGTACTCTGACTTTTTAAACTGCAGAACCATGAGCATCTCCTTCTGATTTTCCTAATCAATATCCTTTATATCTATGAGTTTTGATTTAACCTATTTTCCCTCCAAATAAGTAGAGAAGTATCTTTTTTTTTTAAGTCCAGGAGAGTTGAAATATTCTTTAATTGTATAATCTGATTTACCAGGTGCCCATCAACCAGCTTGATTATCCAGCATCTTCAGTGTTTTTAAATTAATGTAACTATTTCTTTTGTATTTGCCTTAAAATGGAACTAATTTATGGTAGGACCCTAGTTCTTAGTCCACAGCATTTAGCAACACCCCCGAGAGCGGGTCTTAAAAAGGCACTCCAAAACTGCTTAATTAGAACCTCTATAACACGAGTAGAGTCCAAACAATACCAACCCTCAAATCACCACAGGCCCTTGGGGTATGAACCCCGGTTAATATCCGTGATAGCAGTAAGAACTTACAAATCCTGGAAATTGCTTTTCTAAATCTGACATTACAGACATCTTAGAATCTATTTATTGATGCTCTTTTCTTTGACTATGAGTCACTTCTCTCCTTGCGTATCTGGTACTTGTTGTGACATTGTGGTGATGACTGACGCTGGATATTGTAAAGACTCTGGATTTTGTTACCTTCCTCTGAAGAAAGCCCAGGTACTGGCAGGTCAACATGAGTGTGTGTGGGCTGCATTTTGCACGTTGCTAGGGGGATTTGTGGAAAGCCCAGTGGTTTCTCGTTTGCTGAGGCTCCCTGTCTTGAAATTCTTTTTTTCTGTTTGACCACTGGCCTCAGCCTTCCCTGCTCTCAGGGGACGGCAGGCCAGTGCTGTGTGCCGCCAGAGGCCTCAAGAATGTCTACCGTGGAATTGTTTTTGTGGTGGGAGGATTGGTCTGTTACCAGTTACTCTGCCACAGCTGGAAAGTGCGTTTTGCCAGAGAAAGTCTTCATATCATTACTGACCCGGCTTTGCTGTTTCCCAATGAGAAAGTGGCCTGCAGGCCGCTGCTGAGTTGTAATGGAGAGAGAGACCATTCAAAGCAGATTAGGAAAAGGGGAAGGTGACTCCTAAGGCATTGCACAAAAATGACAGGAAATTCCACTTGAGAACACCTGACATGGGACACCAGGGCCCGAGATGTCTTTGTTTGCTGAGCTGGTGCATTTCAGCAAGTGGGTTCAACCCACAAGCATTTTTTGAGCAGGTGTCCACCATACACCGTGCTTGACACTGACGTACGTGGAAGAATGAGGAGTTGTGGTCGTCTCCCTAGCCTGGAGCATGTGGTCTGGTGGGGAGAAACAGGGACTCAATAAATGCACAAATGGTAGAATGACAAGCTGTGTGGCATGTGGCAAGAAAGAAGAGTACATGGAGCTCGGGGCACTTAAAACAGAAGGGGAAGAACATCGCTGAGATGGGGCTGAGGATGCTTGGGTGAACAGCATGTGCAAATGCCCAGGGGTAGAAGGAACTGGACCATGTCAGAGGAACTTAAGGAGCCCACTGTGACAGCAGCATAAAGGGCCAGGGAGAAGGAAGAGAAGCAGCAAGGGGCCAGAGCACACAGGGCCTGGGCATGGGGGAGGCCAGGAGAGAAACACCACCTGATTTAGGTTCTAGCAAGACTGGCACTGGCTGTTCTGTGGGGTGGTAAGAGCCGAGTTAGGCAGGGAGTCTGGAGGCTTCTTCCAAGGCCTCCATCCACTTCGGGCCAGGTGCTGTCTTCATCTGCTGCTCATCCTACAGATGCTCGCGGAGCACCTGTTACCCATCAGGCATCAGGAATCGCTAGATTCTGTGATACTATGTGAAAGCCAGAAATTCCACCCTGGTGAGCTTACACTTAGCAAGATGATAATAAATACTCAACCCTTGCCATGTGTGAGTCGCCATTCCAAGTGGGAAGTCCTCAGGAGCCCTGTGAAGCAGGTTACAGTCAGATCAAGGTGAGGTCATAAAACTTGGTCAAGGTCACAGCTATTTGTGGGTTGGATTCCAGGAGCTCTGCCGGCTGCATGTCCTTGCTGAGCATGTACGCCTCTGCAGACAGCTCACCCTGACTTCTCACTCATGCTTACAAAGTCAGGTAGACAGTGCTCACGCCTCCCACCTGCCACCCCTCCCCCATTTCCTCCCAGTTTAGCCCCGACACCAGCTTACCGGAGCCCAGTCCTACTCCTTGGGGGAAGTCTGACCAGCATTGGCTGTCCACTTGTGCAGTTGGCTATGGCCATGGAGGCCGGGCGGTGTGAGAAGCTGGGCTCTGCTCAGCAGCACGGGAACAGGGGCAGATGTGGGAGACGAGCTCAAGAGAGATGCGGAGGGAGTGGGAGCTCAGGGTACACAGCAGGGCTCTGTCACTCCTCCAGGAAAGGAAGGCAGCCTCCAGGTTTCATTTGCACCCCTCATTGGGCGCTGGGGCCCTGGAAAGTTCCAGAGAAGGGAATGGGCTGGATGGGGAGTCCAAGGACGCCTGTCACACTGCCACTGAAGCCCAGGTCCCTCTCAGTGGCCCAGCCCTCTTGTGGCCTGTCACTTTGAAAACCTAACGTATGCTTTAAAAATCTGTAGTCACATCTTCAAAAGAGGCAAAGGATTTTTTAAAATCACTTAAGAGATGACTTCTCTTCAAGATGAAATGTGCTAATCCCTGGTTTTAGCATTGGAAGCAATTAAAAAAAGAAAACCCAACTTGAAGCCGGGGGCTCCTGCCCGCCTCATGCTTGCTGCTGCTGTGGCCCTCGGACTCCTCCCTCATCTCCATTCCTGGGCTGTGTGACAGGGCCTGTGCCCTCTCTGTTCTCTATTATGTGGTTCCCACCTCTTCTTTCTTTCTTTTTTATTTGCTGCATTATAGAACTTTACTTCTGCCGGCTGGTTTTGATGCCTCTTTATACAAGAGGAAAATGAGTACAAGACAATGAAAAGTGAAAATTCCATGTACAAGCCACGCATGGCTTACTTTTTGGAATGTCACTTGGTCTGGGGAAGAAGTTCGTTCCACAGCCTGAAAAGCTCACAGATCTCATGGCTTGGTCGTGAGCATTTTGAGCAGGACCCGCTGTGGGGCCGTTGTAGTTATCATGATGGAGGTCCACAGAGCTCATGCCTCGATGGAGCTCAGAGGCTGAGATGGGAGGAGGAGACCCGGATGGTGGCGTGTGACTATTGCTGAGATGGACTGGCTAGGAGGTCCCCAGAGACCAGATGAGGACCACCTGGAGTGGTCTGTGGGTTCATACTTAGACTCGAGATAAGGTGTGATGGCAAATTAGGTGCTCAGCCAGCGGGCTTATAACTTGGGGTAACTGCCCCAACAAAATGAAGCATGTCAAGAGCTGCTTCTTGGAAGACCTACCTTAGAGGGAAGTGTCATTGAGGGGGTGACTTACCAGCTGTGAGCAGGAGCAGACCATTGAGCTAGCAAAGAGATGAGTGGTGCCATCAGCGTTTCTGTCTCTGGGTGATGGTGGAGTGTTCCATGCACAGAGCAAGGATATGCAAAGGCCCTGGGGCAGGGCAAGAGCTCAGAGTGCTGAGGGGCTGGGGACATTGTTTAAGTTTGGCATGGAGGGTGATGGTTGGCAGGCCCAGGCCATGCAGGGCCCAGTAGAAAAGGTGGGGGCCAGTTGAAGGTTTTATTTTGCTGCACAGGGAGACAACATTGGCTTTTGAACAGGTGAGGAATATGATTCTGACTTTGCACTTTTAAGATCGTTCAGCTTAAAACGAACTAGCTTTGGAGGAGATGAGGCTGAAGTCAGGCAGGAGTTGGTAGGGAGTTGAGGAGTTGCTAGGTAGAAGTGATGCTGGGCAAAGGCCCCAGGGGTGAGGACTGTAGGAGGGAAGAGAATGGACTCTGTGCCTGAGGAAGGGACAACAGGGTGGCTGGGCCACCTGCGTGGGTGGTGGTAGAAGATGTGGGATGAGAAAGTTTTCGTGGGAGTTGATGACAAGTTCTCTCGGGACACAGAGATGTGTTCCTTCCCTTCTCTCCCTGTCCCCATGCTCGGGATGGAACTCAGACCTTCTGCATGCTTGGCAAGCACTTTACCTCTGAGCCACACTCCCAGCCCTTGGGGCAGTAATCAGAAGCTGTCCTTTTACTTAGATAAGAGTCACGATGTGACATCCTCCAAGGATGACACTCTAGATCCTTTCAAGATGTTGAGACTTACAGAGAGAGCACTGCCGTCCCCTCCGAGGCAGAGCCCTGCTGGCCCCTCATCCCAGGGAACAGCAAGGCAGGCCAGTGAAGAGCAAGCTGTGCGTGCATCTGTCTGGGTTGCCACCCTGAGGACGGATGGCAGGACATAGCTGCTCACTCAGTCGTGGTGCTCTGAGACTCTCTGTCAGCCATGTCTAGGAAAGGAAAGAAGCCCCCAGTTTCTTGTGCAGCCTGATTTGGGTCTTGCTGATGCTAATTCTTCTTGATCTGGGCAGCGTTGGTGTCTACAGACATTCAGGTTCCCTAGGAGTTGGGGGAGAGTGCTC